AACATTTTACTACATACTTTTCATAGTACAAGGATACACTGGCAGAAGTGCCAAGAAAGAATAGCCCTTTTTAAAATATGAAATTAATGAGGCATTAATATATATTAGTGTGATACTAATGTATTTCTGAGGCAGCTAAAAGCACCTGACCTTTGGCTTTATGCCTCACTGTGTATTGTAAAGCAAAAATAGCCTACTAATGCACAAGCTGTCAAAGTTTATGGCTGTATTATTAGCAGACTTCCACTGAAAAGAGCAATATAAAAATCTGAAGTGATCAGAGAACATGAAGTGATTTCCATTTAGCAAGAATTTAGTGTTTCTGGAATGTTTCACATTATGTTTGCAAAAGTTGCAAAAAACTGACTTCTATAAGGGGCCACACAGTTTTTTGTTTAGTCTTTCCCTGAACCAAACCTCAACACAGTAATTAGAGACCAAGATTATGCCTATTTGTACTTTATATACACCTGCTGGACTCAGTATATACTTAAATGAAAAAAAAATACCCTTAAAAGAAATCTCCAAACAAAACCAGTTTCATGTTCAGCAAAATTTTTCTAAAGCACAATGAACTAAACAGTTAACCTAACCATATCTGTTGCTTCAAGAGGATGAAATCTGATAGTTCTTAAAATTGTACATTTTCAACTCAGAAAATAAAGGACCATTTTGAAACAAACATGCTTCCCCTCTCTATTCAAGCACACATTTCTAGTAGTATGTTTTCGCTTTACAAGCGAAGACGAACAAGGAAAACTTTTTTTTTTTTTACTGCCTGTAGATTCTGGAATCTTGTTAATGAATGACAGGCATAGAATAATATGCATTTCAAATATGTTTAAGCAGCAGTAACATAAAACAATAATGAAGAAAAAATTGTTCATTGCAATCCATTAAGGTGACGCCTCACAATCAGTGTTAAATTTAGTTTTTATAACCATATTTACTCAAATCTAAAGATGAGGTTTCTCCCAGACCCTCATGGGTCTGGGGAAAAAAGCAATTTGTCTTACATTTGCATAAAAGCCTCATTAAACTGGTGCCAAAAGCAGCATGTGCTCAAGAATGGAAACCAACTATGAGTTGATTAAATTCAAACAGCACTGAGCATGACTGTAACACACGTGGCCTATACTGGGCAAACATTCTGATGGGAACCAATCACAAGGATACATTAGTGCAGCCCATCTGAATCAAATGTGGTGGTGGCCACTGTGCTCAGTTCCCCTCAGCACCAACTCTTTTTCAAGTCATAGTGAGCCACTACACTGAATACATTTCGATTTCCTCTTCACTCCCACAGCTAAGCTGTACCTTTGCTCTCCCATTTCCAATGAATCCTGTTTCTTCACCAGCCTCAAATGTCTGGCAAACCTCACCAAACAGGGTCCCAAACAGTTCACCCAGAATCCCTCTGTTGCCCCCTCTCAGCCTGTTGCATATGATTAGTGCAGCCCTGCCTACCATGAGGTAGAACCAGACCAGACCGCCCTATGCCTCCTCTACCTACACATTTTCGGAAGATCTCAGAACTCAGGACAAGAACACACAATTACAGTCATAAGTAGGGGCTAATTAACACACACACCTTTTGTTAGGGGGGTATCCAGATTACACACACACACACACACACACACACACAGAAGTACTGAGCTACGGGGTCATCATAGCCCAATGAACTATCTGGTAAACCATGAACTTTTTACCTTTGAACTAATATTATGCATATTTTGTACTACTACAGGAAAGCAGGTACGTTAATGTGCTGCTTGAAAGCATGTTTATGAAGTAGCTGTGCTAAACTTGCAGCAGTTTAAAAAAAAACAAAACTATCAATTCTGAGTGAACTAAGTCTATGGGTACCCATAGTAATTTACCTATATTAAAATTACTACAAGCATGTTTATGATAAAGTCAGTATTTTCAAATTCCACTTCCACATGCTCTGGGAGACCAAGGTCTGACAGTAAGAGGCATGGGAAAGGGGCTGCAAGGAAAAGAAATTGGGGTGGCAGAAGGCAAGAGTGCCACCTGATCCCCAGATATAAATCTTCCCTGCTGTAGCAGTGGGAAGGAAGCAAATTCAAGCAAACCTGCAATAATCAGATTCTATACCTGGGAAGTTATAACAAATTTTAAAATTTTCCATATATTGAATCTAATGGGGGGTGGGGGGAGGTCATCTTATATTTGAGTAAATACAGTAATATTGATTCCTTTATCCTAGCTTGATGATCAATTAGGAAAGACACGCAAGTCAATAACCTACTTTCCAGGAGAGGCCCTTTTCTCTGAAATAGAAGAGACATTTGAGAGACAGGTTACATAACACAACACCTTTATCCAAGCAGCTTCCCACCACTGGAACCAACCATCTTCACACAGAAAGATTTTCCAGTGCAAAGTCTGGATTCTCTCCCAGTTTCCATTCATGTACAATCTTTGCTGTACTCTTCAAATTCAGAATAGCCGAATCTTTGCCAAATCTCTCCTTAATGCTCCAGAATAGTAAACTGCTTCCATCAATTCAAGTTCTCTGCCAAAGGATAATACAGTCTGTTTCGCTGAAGAATTTATCACAAGCAGTGAAGCTACTGGGCTCTGGGTAGAGTTTATGGACAGCACATGGAGAGTAATTAGCATTTGAATTAGAATTACATGATAATGCAACAGCTGGTTAATGATAACTGCTAGCTATAGACCACATGGTAAGCAGATTTCCTGCATGCAAACAGAATTTGCTACACATACTAACAAAATAAAATTAAGGGGATGAACCTGAAGAACTCAGACTTTGGAAACGTGCACATCAATCTAGAATACACAAACATGTGGAACCCACAATATAGCAATTTGTACTGAACTCTTCCAGGCTGACGACATATTTCCTTGCAATTTCACTTCTCTCTAAATTCACAGTTAGCAGCCCCCACCCCCTCAAAAAGAAGGTTCTGATAGATTTTTTCCTCAAAATAAAGACTTTGTTGCTCAGCCAAAATATTATTTTAGCTTCCCCTATTTTTCCAAAATTTTAAGGAGTAAAAATGAGCATGTGGTTCAGTTTAAAACAGATTTCTATCTGAGACTGAAATAATCACAATATGACATTTTGGTAGAAAGAGAGGAGAGTGTAAACAGTCAAAGGGGTAATTTCTAGGAAAAATATCTAAGGCAGTATTTTAACAAAAATCCATTGCAATCTAAAAAGAAAATATTATTACTTTAGGCTGAAAATAAGTGTTTGGTATGGATCTGCAAAAATCTATTAATGGGAATTGCAAAAGGCAGGGGAGAGGTTTGGGGGTTTTTTGTCATTTGAACCTTCACCCACATGCAGCATTAGGAACGCAAGTAAGCTCAATAGGTTGAGGTCAGATCTACACTTGGAAGATGATACCAGTACAGCTATATACTGGTACACTATAAGCAGAATTCTCTGAAAATGAAAGAAACTTAGACTAAAAATGCCCATCATCAATCCCAGCAATAGCTTCATGGCCAAAGGCAGTTTTGCTGGTGTATCAGTGCCTGTAGTGGGAGCTTTTACTAGCACGCTGTGCCAGTCAATACCCTCTATACATCCTTAACCATTAGTAAATGTGACAAGAAAAGCCCTTAGTGCAGACAAGAATCTAGTGCTTGCCAACCACAAAATGAACTAACCAGGCTAGAGAGTGAAATGCACAATGTTAAACACCATAAACAAAGAAAAGATACAAAGCTGATTTTTAACTTAGAAAAACATACATGTTTAAGTCTAGTATTTGGCTGCCTTTTGCTGATTCCAAGCCACATCAGTTTAAGTATTCAGCCATTAAAGAATTTAGGAGAGAAGACTCAGAGGTTAAAAGGATACTTTGACTAGTTTTGAGAGGGAGATCCAGCAGATCCTGTCTTCTGCTGCCAAGATAGGGAACAAAGTGGGTGGGTCTTCTGGAAACGAGAGACTGCTCACTGAATTTGATCCATGAACTTTCCCTGCAAAGAGGAGTGTTCTTTATCTACATATGAAGAATTAACTAAGCTCTCCTTAACTAAACATGTCACGCTATTAAAGGTAAAGGACAATTACAAACAATATATCTTGCTTCGCCCTCTGTGCTTGAGACTCTGCAAAGTCCATTGGCATCATTTATTCCACAACCTCTGAATCATTCCAGCAGCAGAATTGCAGATACTAGATCCTGATACTACACAAGGGCTACTGAATAAAGCAAACAATCTTTGGAAAACAAGTTACAGACTGAAACGCAATGTTTAAGTTAACCAATTAGATTTAGATACCTCATATATCGTCAGTCTCTGATACATGTTCAAATATAAAACAAAGGTATGCTATTTTTTGAATTCTGCTGAAATACAAAATAAACACAAGACTTCCAACCCAGATAAACTGCCAAGCATTAAATATGTAATACTGAATATCAACAAAGTTTAGTACCAATCCATTTAAAGCCTGCAGTGCTTCTGCCAAGAACTCTTAGTAATCTGATAATAGCTTGGCAACTTCAGAGACTGAAGATAAAACTTAAGGCATGGCTTTGCTTGAAGATCAACTGACAAGTCAGAAAAACATAAAACTTCAAGACTGGCCTGTTGTTCTTTCCTGGATATTTCTTGAACTAAACTCACAGCTCTCCTTCCCTTTTTTCTTTACATACATTTTTCCCACACAACACTGACAGGGACACTGATATCCCCCTTCTCTCAGAGGGGCCAAGAGCTGCTAAAAGAATCATGTTGATTCGTCAGAATTTAGTCAGATTCAGAAACCATCGCTGTAAGTGCTGCAGGAGACTGAGTCATTGACCAGGAACCCACTGTATAATCTCAGGACAAAGAGTCTCTGCCCCCAAAAAAGCTTATAATAGAAAGGATACAGACAACAAAACTAGTGATCAGCATTCTACATGGTGGTTTCTGAACTGAGGCAAGAAACGGCTGGAATATAATGCATTACACTTAGCTGAAGGATCTTTCATCTATACTTTTGACTCCTCTGTTCAATGGGTCCCAGAGGAAGCTACTTAGCTTCTAGGAAAAGTACAGGTATTTTAGGAAAGAAAGCAATTACCAAGTCTAATATAAACCAAAAACTCCAGACATCATACAAGTCTTAATAGCTACAGATTGATCTAAGAGTGCTTTGGGGGAGATGAGAGAAACAAATACAGCACAAGGAAAGGAAAATAATCTGTATCAGGTTCCCCTTTGTTACAAAGATGACAGGAAAACACCACAAAACACTTAAAAGTTCTGTTTACTGCAGTGGTCTCCAACCTTTTAAGGTCAGAGATCACTTTTGGAATTTAAAAAGAACCCAAGATCTACCATCCCCCTCCCCTCCCCCCC